AGATGTCGACTCACTAGTAATGAAGCAACTGTGCTACGAGCTGTACCTCACAAAAACACCTCAGAAACCACCAAGAATAACGCATAACACACCACTAAGTACACTTACAGATAAAATAGCATATTGAACGAAAAACACGGTGCGGTTTGCACTGAGAAAAACCTATTAGAACCGAAGAATAATACAACACTCCACTACCACCCATCGTCAAATTTATTAAACACCCTTTTTTTTTTTAAACATACATAGCAAAGCAATGAACACTGACGTACACATAAGAACCTAATACACATACACCCCCATTCATACATCGATACGACCACCCGCAAGTACAAACCCCTGATGAAGACAATACCACCGAGTCGAGGGCGCTACATAAGGCAAACATTTCTTTCAAGAAAAACTAAGGGACATGAAGAATAAGAAAAACCCGAACATATGCATAGGCACAAAAATGAAGAAAAGGAAACAGATACGACAACAAAAGAATGAAACAACAAAGCAACACCCCGCAAAGAAAGACACAAAAAAACACAAAAACTCGTGAAGCATCCCCATGAAGACCGGCATCTGAAAACCAGGACAAAAAAACTCGACAAAAGAAATATGCCACTTTCTTTAAAAAGCTARTTAGACTGCAACCCATCCAAAATATTGACCACCGCCGAACTCTGARGKTGATCGACGTGAATGAAGAAGACTATAACATTACGCGGGAACTACAAAGCAAAGCAAATATGCCACTAAAGTTCAAAAAATCACCCCGCCTACGACCAGACCCCGTAAATTGTACTACAACCGATCACACACAAGCATAACCCATACACCTACACAGACCCCTAAAACCTACCAAATACGCCCTGTTTTACCAAACCAGAACGAATATCACATTTCGGTGACCTAATTTTTTAATTAAAAAAAAATAAAAAAAATACAATAACGATTAAGTTGTCCTATATACACGAACGCCACCATACCCATCACAAACCTCACATAACAAGATATAACGAAGCCTGCCTGCATTACTATCTACAATAGCTTGCCTATGACTACACCGGCGCTACGGAGCATTCCGACTCATACTTGCTACGCATGCAAAAAACTTCCTCATCCCACCATTTTCTCCCACCTGCCTCTCCTCATCCCCCTCATACTACGCAACCAGGCGAGCTAACCGTCTGTCTGCAGCGGGCAAGGCACCTTCTTGGGCCAGCCAATCTGTGCTTCGACTAACGGAGCTCCTAATCCATCGCTACGCCGAAGCTCGACAACTATGGCAGCTACAGCAGAGACTGACTATGCCGCTTCTCCAGACATGACATCTCAGATACGGATTCTCTATACACCCATGTTGTGTATTCCCAGGACCCCCTAACTACAACTACCTACCACCCTTTGTGCTAATTGGAGCCTTGCTAACGACTCATCCCTCTGACGAGCTGCTATGGGTGCTAAGTGGCGAAAAGCGCGCTTCAGGGCGTGCACCCCCCCTACGGCTGGGCTGTTGCCCTTTCCTAATCTCTAACCCACTAACGCTAACAACTAATAAACTGCTCCCTACTTAACATAATTTCTTCTTGTACCCGCTAATTCCTTGAACACATGGTCCTTTAGTGCTTTGCATAGTCTTCATAGCTTATTATGCTAGCTAACAAACGATTAATGAGCGCTCTTTTTTGAGTCACA